TTATGCTTGCAATAAATCAATTAATCACATGATTAATTAAAACAAACTCAATAATCACCATTTGTGTGATTTTTCATTTTTCTACCAGAAACTGGATGATTAAAGTTTTGGTCTCAACTAGCAGAGATTTCATAATTATTTTATTTGTTGTTTGCTTTTGATATTTTTAATGTCTTCCAGTTCCAGAGTTAAATATTGATTAGAGCTTAAAGTTTATTGATCTTTGGGAATGTGTTCATAATTATTATATTACCACAATAACCTCTGGATAATTAATCACCTGGTGACACTAGTTATGAGTTTACCTGCTGGTAATCTAACCTGGATGTATTTTCACAGAGAAAATGGCGGACAGCCTCCTTCAGCAGTCCGATCCAATCTGCTGTTTATGGTTCCATCATCGTAAAGTTGCTTTAGATTTACCTACATCATGTGTCAGGTCATGAGGATTGGTTCTTTCTGTCCTTTGAAAGGGGAACAAATGTCAAATCTAAACATTTTAACTTTGCTGGTTTCCAGTTCGTGTCCCCGGATGAACGTTTAGCAACGAAACACGGCGGATAAACGAACCCTAAAATTCAAACGACCACAAAGAAACCAGAACCATCAGGACAGGCTGTGCTGATGGGTCAAAGGTCACCTCCCTTCTGTGACTGTAGACGCGGCGCAAGATCCAGATCGTCACGTTTCAGCCGGTCTGCAGCGTGAAGTCACACAGGAAATGAGGCGTGGGGTTCTGATCCGAACCCAACAGAACGATCAGAACCTTTTGGGTGAACGATCCGAACCGGTCAGAACCTTTTGGGTGAACGATCCGAACCGGTCAGAACCTTTTGGGTTTACCTCTGTTTCTGAAATGTTCAGACCGACTGAACAAACTCCAGTTTGTGTTGATTTGACTCTTCCTGTTTTGTCTCCACCTCGTTTTTTAATTTGAAGCAGTTCTGATGAACGGAGGGAAACATGAAACTGCTGCTGCGCCAGATACCCAGCAGGTTGCTAGGCAACTGGAGAGTCATTTGATGCTAGCTTAGCTACCTGTGAGCTGGAGCAGCTGAAGGCTTTCTTCTGCCTACATCTCCCAGAACGCTGTGCGGTTCTGGATCAGAGTTCAGTGAATATTTTATATATTGAAAATTTTATCAGTTATCAGTTGATATTGATCTCTTGTCTATCAATATATATTATTGATTTATTGTCCACCCTGAACTGATATTGCAAGTTCAGCAGATCTGCTCAGTTAAAACCTGCAGAGGTGTGTGTGTGTGTGTGCGCGGGCGTGTGTGTGTGTGCGTGTGTGTGTGTGCGTGTGTGTGTGTGTGAGAAGGTAAACATGGCGGGAAGCCTCCATGTTTCTGTCGGCGCTGCAGCAGCAGGTGTGAGTGACTTCGGACCGTCTGAGTTTACAGACGAACGGAAATGGAGCGAAGGTTTCTGGAACTGGACCGGTCCGGTACCTGTGACCCAGTCTCTGTCCCAGCAGCAGCAGATCTGTGCTCCTTTTCCTCATAACAACCGTTGCCATGGGAACGGCTCAGTTGGCCGTGTTTTGATCACAAACTGTCCGCTCGTCTCTCCATCTGTGTGTTCAGCAAACCAGCTGGACCTTTGCTGCCAGAACCTGAACCGGGTTCTCAGAGTCGAACCCGGTCCAGGTTTACCCGACAGAAAGTTCAGATAAAATTGAACATTATTTATTTATGAGTGGAGATTTATTTTTTTAAATTTCTTGGGCTGCAGCTAACTCGGGTATTCTGACGATGAATCAGATTAATGTCAGTTTCTGCAATCTGCAGGTTTTAGTTTTTACATTTAATATTAGAAAAACATGAAAAGATGCGAATAAATGAAAATGTAATTCTTTATTAAACAGGAAGATCATCATTTTCTGACCTGGCAGTCGATGTGAACATTACGGCTCTTTTCTAGATCCTGTTGACCAGGCCTGGCGCTATAATCAATAAATCAATTCATTGCATGATCATTTAGAGCAAGCTCAATAATTTCCATTTGCATGATTTATAATTTTTCTCTCTCTACCAGAAACTGGGTGATAAAAGTTTCAGTTTGGTGTTTTGGTCTCAACCAGCAGAGATTTCATAATTTCTTTTATTTGTTGTTTTGTTGATTTGAAATGTCTTCCAGAGTTAGATTTTAAGAATTTAAAGGGTATTGGTTTTTATTATTATTCCATCATTATTATATTACTGTAAATTGGTCTCAAAACGGCAGTATAATTGTTCAGATTGATTACTAAATCAGTTTATTATTGTTTCAGTGACGGTTGAGCGCCGCTCTCAGCTCCGTGCGGTTTGTTCGTCAGCCGGTGTTTGTGTTGGGTCTCGTCCTGCTGTGTGTTGGTACACAGGTTGGGTTTCCTCTGCAGCTCTGACCTTTCAGCTGCAGCCTGAAGGTCGTTCAGGTCAGGACACAAACCAGCCATCAGCTGCTTCCTCATGAACCAAACTAGCTGCTGTGAAACTCAGGTTTATTCAGACCCGCCTCCAAAGCGTAACAAAAATCTAAACTCCGTATTAAATCAGTGTTTTCCCTCTGGAGGTGTGCAGGCGATTCCATAATCGACTCGTTAATAAAACATGCTGGATGCAGTGATGCCTGCAGCTGAACCGGTCGAACCCGCCGTGTGAAACTGCTCCGTTTTATTGTCTTTGCAACAATAAACTCCAGATAGGGACTAATCCACAGCACTGAGAAAAATAATTCAATGTTTTCATCACAACAAGAAAATTTTTACAGTAGGAAAAAAAAACCTTTATATTTTATTCATGAACTTTTTCTTTCACACCTAAAACATTTTCAACCAATGAACAGTTATAAACATTTTCAAATATACTGGATGCAACAGAGCTTATTATGGGCTAATAAATATTGTAGTCCAATCAACTGCAGCAATGAAAGAGAAGATATTTAACTATAAATGACATCTGGTTCAGTGAGAAAACATGATAATGTTGGTAAAAGTTACAAAAAATAAGCAAAACTGAAAACTGGCCGAGAATTTAACGTGTTAATTTGATTTTAATGTGGTGAACATTTGAAAAGAACCAGAACTGGGCCAGTTGGGTCTTAAAGTTTGTTGACTTGTTGAGTCATTCTGAGAAAACCAGCTGGAGCAGCAGGTGTAGGTATGACTGCTGGTTCTTCTATAGTCTAGCTGCTGGAAGCTGTGCTGCAGCTCAGCTTCTGCTCTGAACATGAAGCTTATTTTAGTAAATTCAGACCAAACATCCTGATAAACGGCTCAGATCGATGGTCGCCACACTCAAACCTACAGCGGTTGGTCTCCCCGCGTCGCCAGTCGGCCTCTACGCTCTGCTTCCTGTTTTAGTCCAGATCTGCTTCCTGTTTTAGTCCAGATCTGCTTCCTGTTTAGTCCAGATCTGCTTCCTGTTTTAGTCCAGATCTGCTTCCTGTTTAGTCCAGATCTGCTTCCTGTTTTAGTCCAGATCTGCTTCCTGTTTTAGTCCAGATCTGCTTCCTGTTTTAGTCCAGACTAAGCTTTAAAACATGAGGTGTGATGCAGGTGAGCGCCCCCTGCTGGCCGTTCTGAGGCCGTGCGTCGCCACTGCTGCGCCTCTTGCAGCTAGAGGTCAGGTAGAGGTCAGACAGGAAGTGACTCCAGAGACATGAGCCAGCTCTTCCTGTCTGAGCGCTCAGAGGACTCAGGTTTCAGGACTGTCCGTTTCCATGGTGACGGGCCGGCAGTGGATCAGATGGTGCCGGTCGGGTCCGGTTCTGCCTGTCGGCAAACATCCGGATCAGAACATGAAGACGAAGCGCCGCAGACGGAAAACGGTTCCCATCTTCTGACCAATCGGAGCGAAGCTGACTCTGAATGCCAGCCAATGAAATTCAGAGAACAGGAGCATAAAGATTTAAAACATCAAAAATATACAGAAAAAATTAGGAGGAAAGTTAAATCAATGTATGATTAAAAAGGGAACAAAAAATACAGAATATGGGAGAAAAATAATGAAATAAAATGTGACTAAATAATATGAAAAAAGGGAAAACAAAGCAGCATAATCAAACAAGTTGGTAAGGCTTTTATTTTTTTATATTTGGCTCATAAATTACTTTATTTCTTGCTAGGGTCCGTCCTCCTCCATTGCTTTTTCGTTACTATTATTATTGGAGTGTAGAAAACACAGAGCAGCTTGTAGAAGTCTGATGTCATCAGTCAGATTATTAATAAATTTTAACATGAGACCAGAAATAAAACCAACTTTTTTCTGCATTTAAAGCTGAATCTGTTTAATCCGACCCGTCTGGTGGCTGTGAGGTCAAAGGTCGTCGTGTTTTTTCAGAGCTTCACTTTGTTCACATGCTGACCTGATTTATCAGCTTGACGCTTTTCTGTAACAGGAAGTGCATTCAGACGGTGTTACATCATCACCGGCCCCTCTGCAACCAGCAGAGGGAACGGGATTCCCCTTAACTTCCCACCAGAACCAGAACCAGAACCGCTTCTTATGAGGAGAATCCATCCATGAACGCTGGAGGCGGTTCTGGTTTCTGCCATCATCGTTCTACGTTTTGGATTCACTGAAATGTTTCTGTTATGGTTTAATCAAATCAGAGCAAATCAAATAATAAACGGAGGAAATCATATTAAATCAGGTTGGATCATAAAGCTCAGATTCTCTTCATTTAATTATATTTCTTACAAATGAAATACATGAAGTAATAATCAGTTTTACCCAGTTACCCAATACAGTTTACTTATTGATCCTTTATTGAGGACCCAATTATTTCACAAACTATTTCTTTCTTCTTCTCTGCTGATTCAGCTAAAGTTTTTGTCTGTAGTTCATGGATGAAAAGTTCAGCAAAAATAAAGTTTATTATTGAAGCTAATGTTCATCTCTGCAGTTTATTATAGATCAGTTTCAGGGATTCAACTATACTGATACTTCCTGCAGGTGGCGCTGTGCGGCCGGTCACTAACCCCGCTCTTCCTCTCCTCTCCTCTTCCTCAGATGTGCACCCCCGCCAACACGCCGGCAACGCCCCCCAACTTTCCCGACGCGCTGACCATGTTCTCCCGGCTGAAAGCCTCCGAGAGCTTCGCCAGCAGCGCCGGCAGCCCCATGGCCGTCTCCATGGCGACCTCGCCCCCGCCCCCACAGGCGGGCGGCTGGGGCGCGGCGCCTGGCGCGCCCAATGCGCCGCAGCCGCAGCAGGGACTCTGGACTCCGCCCCCCACGCAGCCCTGCCCGCCCCCCTGGCCCGTGGGCGTCGCCCCGCACGCGGCCGCCGAGCAGAAGGCCAGCGTCGCCATGGAGGCGGAGAGATGAAGGACTGGAAACGGCCCCCCCGCCACCTCACTGTTGTCATAGCGACGGTGAGAGGGGGGGGAGTGGGGCGGGTGGGTGGCAATAATTGGTAGAAACAGGATTAGATCGGAAAAAATCTACGCAAACCGAGAAAAACTGATTTATGGAGGATTAAAGAGAAACGCACACGGCCGAGGATTCTAGTTTCATTACCAGTAAAGATTACAACAAGAGATATTCAAGAAAAAACAGAAATTTAAAAAATGTCACGCCCAAGGATTCTCCACCATGTTCAATGACTTTCAAGGACTTTCAAGGCAGCAAGTCTTTGTTTTTCAGCCGGTGTTTTTTTTTACCCACTGCTGTTCTATGTTCCTGCGACCGTCTGTGCTGCATGAGGAAAAGAGGAAAAGCGAGGCAGTGATTTTTTATTCTTTAAGATTCAGATTTGATCACCAACTGGTGGCGCGTGGGAAGCATGTGGGACGCATGAGAGCGAGCGAGCGGTCGGCCTGTAATCAGACGTG